CTTGAGGAGCTTTAAAAATATATGGGCCTGAGCTCCACTGCTCTAGGAGTGAAATCTGATCGTAGTATTTTGGGAAAAGTCCCAGCTGGTTTTATTATGCAGCCAATTGTCATAGGTGCTCAATGAACGTTTGTTGAATGGATGAACCAAATGGGATCAATATGAATAAACTCAAGTTACTCCGTCCTTAGAATGTCAATGTAATTTTGTCTCCCAGAAAGTTGGCTTTTCTTGGGGCAGGCTTAAAGAAAGTAATACAGCAGTGAATATAATGGAATACATGAAAGAATTATAATTCTCAGCATCTCAACATATTGCAATAGTGAAGAAATAGAGAAAAACATTAGCTAGAGCTAATATTAGAGATCAGTAGGTATTTCCTTTTGTTCTCCCTTATGTTCAGGCAGACTTATTGCTCAGATAGTTGCCATAACAACTCTAGCCCAAAGCTGAACTTTGACCTTTCCTTCAGTTTTAATTTTGATTTGCAACTCAATCTTTCATTTAGTGGACATAATAAAACATTTAAAGACCTCAAGTAAAGCATTTGTACCACTCTAATATATAATTATGAGCATGATAATAAGCATAATTGTAATTAACTGCTTTACCTAGTTGGTTTACCAAATTTAAACCGACTGTTGCTTATAAAACATTGTCAGGGACCTCATAATAAAAACTTTTTAAAAACTATAGCTAGGGCCCCTCCTTTCAAGAAACATATTATAAAGATAAACAAATATAACAGAAACATTTAAACAATGTATGGAGATATAAAGCAGATTTTGGAGTCAGCCTTTAAATCTACTTCTTATTAGCTGCATGACATCAATTAATCCAATTAACCTCCCTGAGTTTTAGCTTCCTCACTGACCAAACGTGGATTTTGATGCCTCGATCACAAGATTGTTGTGAGGCTTCAAAGTAATAATATGTGTGTCTGGCATTTTTTATTAAATGAAATTATTTTAATTAACAAAGAAGCTGTATTCCAACAGCACACTTTGTTGTCCGAAATTTCATTATCAAGAGGAGAGATAATATGCACAAGAGGGAAGCAAATCAAGATGGAAAACTGCACATAAACATACACTTGCCCTTCCACCAGAAATCCCTTAGAAGACAGAAAAGATAGCATTTAAAATCATAAGTCCTTACCAGCACCAGCAAACAAGAGAGGAGGCAGAAGTTATGATAAAAATCTGGATAGAAAGCATTTGGAATCCAACTAGTAGAGCAGAGTATTAATAGACTCCAAACAATTTTAGGAGAAAATTACTTTGAAGGTAGGAGCAGAGAATCTCCTAGCTCAGAGGAAGCAAATAGAAAAAATAGGAGGGGGTTGTGAAGCAGTCACCAAGGTATTAATTTTTTTTTTTTCTTTAGAGAGAGAAGAAGGGAGAGAAAAACATGGATTGGCTGCCTCCTGCACACCCTTTACTGGGGATTGAGCCTGAAACCCAGGCATGTGCCCTGACTTGGAGTCAAACCAGCAACCTTCCAGTACATGGGACAACACTCAACTCACTGAGCTACACTGGCCAGGGCAAGGGTTACTAATCTTTAAACTACCCTCTGAACAACAGACCTCTCTCTTCCCTGCACGTTAGAGAGCTGTAGGGGATTGGAGGCAGGGTGCTGGTGGGGAGAATAAAACACAGACCTTTACTTTAAAGAAGAAAATTACTTACCTGATAAGGACTGCTGCTGGGATGTAAGGACTTGTGAGAAAAGCAGGCTGGAAGTAACCAGTCACCTTCCACAGACAGAGAGGAAAAAGGAAAACCTGTTCCTGCCAGCCTGTCAACTGTGACTGCATCGGAGTAAAGTCTCCTTATTGGGGCTTTTGGGGATGAGCGAAGGACCGAGTGGAGAGGACGATGTTCCCCAAGTCTGCTCTCTGCCTGCTCCAAGCACTTTATAGGGAAGTCTGCAGTCACTGTCCTACTCACAGAGTCCCAACTAACCCTCCATTCATCACGGGGAATGGATAAAGGGTAAGGGAAATGGATAGCTCAAAATAGCTACTAATGAATCTATTCTTCAAATGTGGGTGTGAATGGAAAACCAAGGACCACCAGACACTTGAGGAAATTCAACAACTCTAGAGAAAAGGACTAGGAACAAACTAAACATTGACCTCAGAGAAAAGACAGGTCAAGGAACATAAAAGAGCATGTTAAAAATTCTAACAAGCATCATCCTTAGAAAGATGCTTGGAGTTATTGTAGCAGGCTACTGTGAAAAAGGAACAAACACCTGCTATGACAAAGGAAAAACAACAAACAAACAGAAAGAGCCCTGGCCGGTTTGGCTCAGCGGTTGGAGCGTCGGCCTGCGGTCCAGAGAGACCCGGGTTCGGTTCCCGCTAAGGGCGCGTACTTCGGTTGCAGTTTGTCCCCGGCCCTGGTTGGTCGTGCGGGTGGCAGCCACTCGATGTGACCCTTTCACATCGATGTTTCTCTCTCTCTCTCTCTCTTCCTCTCTCTCCCTCCCACTCTATCTGTACAAAAAATGGAAAAATATCCTCAGGTGAGGATAAAAAAAAAAAAAAAAAAAAAACAGAAAGAAAGAAAATTTAGAATTATGATAGTAAAACTAAAGATTCAATAAATGGGATGAATAATAGAATGGATATGACAAAAACTGGGGATGTTATCCAGAAGTGTGAGATCTCCCTGAATATTTAGAAAGATCAGGAATGGAAACATGGAAAAATAAGAGATTCCTGTGGACTGAATTTTGCTCACCACCACCCCCTCAAATTTATATGTTGAAACCCTAACCTCACTGTGACTGTATCTGAAGAGGTGATAAAGACAGCTTAAATGAGGCTATAAGGGTGGAACCCTAATTCAATAGGGCGGTGCCCTTATAAGAAGGACACACCAGAGATATCTCTCCTTGTGAGGACACAGCAAGAAGGCAGTCATCTGTAAGCCAGGAAGAGAGCTCTCACTAGAAACTGAATTGGCCAGCACTTTGATCTTGTCTCCAAAACTGTGAGAAAATAAATTTCTGTCATTTGAGCAACCCAGTTACGGTATTTCATTGTGACAACCCAAGAAGAATAATATAGAGACACAAAGGATATATTCGAAAGTGCTTCCCTGCATTCAAAAGAAGTGCCAGGAGAGCACTAAGAATTGTGGGAAAGTGATCCACTAAGAACTAATAAAAGAAAATCTCCACGACCCATAGAAAAGCTCAAGATTTTACAGGACTTGCCAAGTGTCAGGCAACATCAATTTTTAAAGATCTGTACTTAGACAAATATTAAGGGTATTTCGAAGCCAAAAGGACAAAGAGAAAAGCCTAAAAGTATTCAGAGGAGAAAAACAATTTACCTACAAGAAACAAAAATGCGATTGGCTTTCAGAGCGCTGAGCAGCCATGAAGCAATAACCGCAAAATTTGAAAGAAAATAATTTTGAGCCTAGAATTATGTACAATGCTAGCCAAACTAGCATTCAAATGAGAGAATAAAATGAAGACATTTTCTATTTACCCTTCAAGTTGCCAAAAATGAGTAAACTTGATAAAATCCAGCACTAGCAAGGTTTCAGGGGCAATGGCACTCTCAAACTCTGTGGGATATCAATTAGAAGTAAGTATCAAAATTTACCATGAGTGCCCAGCTAGTGTGACTCAGTGGTTGAGCGTCGACCCCTGCACCAAGAGGTCGCTGGTTGGATTCCCGGTCAGGCCACATGCCCAGGTTGTGGGCCCAATCCCCAGTCGGGGGAATGCAGGAGGCAGCCAGTTGAGGTTCCCTCTCATCAATGTTTCCTCTCTCTCTAAAATCAATAAAGAAAAATATTATTTCAAAAAAATTTACCATGAGTTGTCTCTGGGTGTAGGCAGTAAGTGGATTCATCAACTGAAGGTAATTTTAAATAATAACTTGAAAACAATAAGAAATAATAATAAAATATTTTTGGTCTGCATTTTATTATCACTGTGAACAATGAAAATAAACAATGTCAGTGATAAAAGACTACTTTCTGCCAGAGCAGCCCGTTCCTCCTTTCCCCCAACCCCATCCCTGTATGCTACTGAATCTTCCCAAGTGCATTAAAAAACATAGCAGAGCCCTGGCCGGCTGGCTCAGCAATTAGACCGCCGGCCCACGTACCAATGATTTGTGGGTTCAGTTCTAGTCAAGGGCACGTTATCTCGGTTGTGGTTGATCCCTGGCCTTGGTCGCGTTGTTTAGGAGGCAACCAGTCAATGCATCTCTCTCACATCAATGTGTGTGTGTGTGTGTGTGTGTGTGTGTGTGTGTGTGTCTCTCCCTCCCTATCTGATGATAAACAAAAAAATGTCCTCCCATGAAGATTAAAACAAACAAACGTATAGCAGAAACTTACAGTACTTACTAAATAGGAAAATGATTTACAGAAAGAAATGGGAGCATGTGAATAAGATTCTTACTTTTTACTAGTTAGCTGGGTTTTTTTTTTTTAATTTTTGCAAAGAATCTATTCATTTATTTATGCTTACATTCTTGTATAGTTAAAACTTTTTTAATTTGAAAAAATAAATAACCTGGTAGGCAGGATTTATTTCAGGAAGTCAAAACAACAGAGTACAATGGCAGCATATAGCCATTTCCCCAAATACTTTAGATTATGGAATATGGGTTAAATACAGTGACTACATTTTCAAGACTAAAAATCAGAACGCAGTGTCTGCCAAAAGTTTTTTGGTGCAACTTCTGAACAGGAGATACAGCTTGAAACGTCCAACTTGGATGCCAAAATAATGGAATTTCTTGGGCACTGTGATGGTTTATTATTACAAATAGACTATTTGAAACTGGGCCTGTCCATATATCCCCAATTCCACTCCATTTTTGGATCATGTTGGAACTGAACACCTCCTGATATTATATCAGCTTAAAACCTAGCATTCAGTGTGCCTTGCTCTAACTCCCCCAAATCCAAGCAGCCTTTGTTTCCCCTGAGATCTGCCAAGGGGCCCTGATAGAGAACTCCTACCTTCTCCATTGCTTCAGCAGTATCCCCAACCACACTGTCTGTCCTTGCCTGAGAGGGTTCCCTACTGGCCTCCCCAACCCCCAACGTGATCACCTGCACCCACCACACACCCCACTGTCCCTCCCACCCTCCCTCCCCCCACCCCACCCCTGTATGCAGCTGAGCCAGCTCTGCCTGGGCCACTGATACCAATCCTGCTGAGACTAGCACAGATAGTCCCAGGCACAGAGTAAGCTGAAGCCATGGACATGAAATTGTTGTGTACAGAAAGGATGGGGTGGGGTGGGGGGTTGGGGGTGACAGACCCAGAGAAACAGGAAAGAGTTTGCCAGGAAACCAGACTGACACAGGCTGAGTGGAAAAGAGAAGTTGGAGCAGGACTCACAGACCGTCTTGGGACCAGTAAAGGAAGTGGGAGAAAGGTGAGAACTAAATGTGCACAGTAGTTTTTGTTCTAAGTGTGAAAAGGGTGCAAGGTAAATGCGTGGATTCATCACGAAGAAGGAGAAAATGAAAGGCTCCCGTGGGCCCCAGAGCGCTCTGCTGGGAACGAAGGAAGAACATGGGTCAAGAAGCCCTGCTCCCCACCCTGGCTGTGGGACATCGAGCAAGTCGTTAACCCCTGAGCACTTCCTGTAAGTTCAGGGTTCTTCTAAACATTAAATGAATTCAGGAGAGGAAAGCTTTCAGGCCAACATTTATGAAATCTGAATTTCTCTCTCCTCACATCTAATGTAAAGGGTGATGATGAAGACCCTCCTGTGCCTCCCACTCCCGACTCTGTCCTCAGTGTGAGCAGTGGACACACCAAATAACAGCTACTTAAGTAGCTCATGTTTATTGAGGGCGTATTATTTGCAGGCTCTGTTCCAAACCCTTTACAGTATTAACTTAATCCTCACAACAACCCTGTGAAATAGACAATATTATTATTTCTAGTTTACAAATGAGAAAGGTAAGGCTTAAAGAAGTTAAGTAATTTGCCCAGGGTGTGAAACAGAACCAGGATGAAAATCCAACTCTAACTGCAGAACCTATGCTCTTTTTCATTGCACTGTATTCCTTCCCAATACTAAGGCAGAAAATAGAAAAAAGGTTAGACGAGTAAAGGTCCTATCAGAGGCATTGATGGAGATGAGTAGGCGGGTCCTATTATCCTGTCTCCCTACGTGAGAGCTCTGTGGCTGTAGGAGGCTCCTTAAAGGGCTCCCGTTTGACAGTGGGACCCAAGGGAAATGCTACAGCTGAGATGAAGTCACAATCTGCCCCCTCCCCCCCACTGCCAGAGATGAGTGCTGGCATCCGAGAACAAGCCAATCACATCTGCAAACAGTGCAGATAAAGCTGTAAGTGGGGGCATTGCCTCATGTTATGAAAGTATTTGCAATAAAGATGTGGTAAGAAGTCCAAACAGAAGGGCGGTGAGTCGGCAGGCAATCTGATCAAGCGGAAAGTTTGTCCGTGTGTCTACAGGTCAACTCACTCTAATTTCACATGTTCCATTGGGTACTGTAGACAGAAAGCCTCGGGATGAGAAGGGCCTGAAGGAGATGCTGCCTGGGGAAGGTCAAAGCACCAAACATGTAAAAGAAATGGCTACTGTTGATTTAATAATGCCAACAATATTAGAGGTTTTCATTACGGTTATAGTCATCACCACTACTTCCCTTATTTACTCACTCATGCGTTTATCCAGGAAGCATTGATAGAGAGCCTAATGTGTTCCAGGCCTGTGCTAGGTGTTGGGACACTGTAAGGAGTCCCCAAGTTCTTACAGGGTAATCAAGAGGCAGTAGAAAGAGGCTCTTCCCACGCAGTCAAGTTAAAGGTCGTGTTGTGGCGCGAGAGAACCGAGAGACCACCAGAGCCAAATGAAAGCCAAATAGGGAGTAAAGCCAGCCAGCGACTGATCCCAAGTTCTCGGAGACCAGCCCTGGGGCCTCCAAATTTTGTGGCCTGACAGAGTCAAAGAAAGACCACTAGGGAATTGAAGTCCAAATCAGAGCCGTTGATGAGCCGGCTGGTGTCTGATTCCAAACACCCCTGTGACAGAGTCTTGGGAATCAACCCCGATATGCTTTATTACATGCCTTTTATACCTTACAGAAAATAGGATCTTCTTGATATAATGCCCAGGGCCACAGCAATGCTGTATAGAATTAGTGTGCCTTACAGATAACAGGAACACCCAAGCCCACCCAGGAGCACCCAGGAGAACCCAGGAGAACCCAGGTATTTCAAGGTACATTGGGTCACACTTAGCCCCGAGCTGCACAAACACAATGCAAGCCTAACTCCTTGAGATTGTGGGGAAGGTTGAGTCTCTGACTCAAGACCTCCAGGCTCTGTGGACTCTGTCAGACATGTAGCTGGCTCCCAACAATTTATTGGTTCAGGGAATATTCCAATTCATTGAGGTTATTTTCACTGAACAGGTTCAGCTAGAGGACATACAGTGACTTTCCCAATCATCAATTATGGAGCAGCACAATAATTTACCAATCATCAATTATGGGGTTATAAACATGCCAGCACAGTCTGTGCCAGTGAGGGCCTTGCATGTCAAACCACATGGCTCTCCCTGCAAGGAGCTGATTGTGCTGGTGGGGTCAGGTAGTACCTCCTACAATGGAAAAGCCAGAAAGGGCCTTTGAAAAGTGGTCCATCTCCTTCCGTGTGTAGAGAAGGAAACCATGAACCTGAGTTATAAAAAAGATAAACTACAAATCAAGACTGCATATGGGACCTGGAGAGTATTATGCTAAGTGAAATAAGCCAGTCAGAGAAAGATAAGTATCTCATGATCTCACTTATTTGAGGAATATAATGAACAAAATAAGCTGATGAACAAAACACACCCAGAGACGTGGAAGTAGGGAACAAACAGACTGACAAACCTCAGAGGGAGGGAAGTGGGAGGGCGGGAAGAGATAAACCAAAGACTTATATACATATATGCACAACCAATGGACACAGACAACAGTACTGTGAAGAATATTTTTATTTCCACTTTACAGGCAAGAAAAACAAGTCAAGATCTCACCTATGTTAAGTGATAGAGCTGGGACTCAAACAAATGTATTCAAACTCCTGGTTCAAGGATCTTTCTAAAAACCTCAAGCCAGCCCTGGCCGGTTTGGCTCAGCGGTTGCAGTGTTGGCCCCACGGACCAGAGTCCCAGGTTCGGTTCCCGCAAGGAACACATACCAAAGAAAAAAAACCTCAAGCCACTTCCTTTTCCCAGTACCAGACAGCTGGGCTTGAATTCCAGATAGAATTCCTGGTTCCAGCCAGGGGCACACAGGGCAAGATAAAACAGTCTCAGACAATGAGCAGACGTGACTAATGCAAGAATTCTACCTGTGGGTACGCCCCACCTCATCCTCATGCTGAGCTCCAGTCACTGATTCCTGGGCCCAAAGTCAAAGGTTTCACAATACCCCTTTTATCGATAAAAGGACATACGCTGTTGTGCTTAGAGTCGGTGTCAGTTTGCACATCTTTAAAATGGAAAAAATAATGACATCAATGACTAAACGTGATGACGTATGTGAAATGGCTGTAATAAGTGTTCACAAGCATGTAAATACTCTTCTCCCCTCTGGCTCTCTCTTCTGTCCCTATGGGACATTTTCAGGACATAAGCACACATCCTTTTGTGAGCCTCCCTTTTCCCCATAAACCGAAGGCGTAGCAGCGGCAGTGAAAAGCGGAGGGCGAAGAGGACATTTCTGAGGGCTCTGTGCAGTCTCCAGCCCAAGGGAGCTCGCAGTGGGATTTCTGCTTTATGTCAGCTGCGCAGTGGGGCAGGAAGACCTCCGTCCTCCGAGGGCAGGTATCACGCTGAGGAGAAGGAACCCCAGCTGTTCTGTGGGTCCTAACGGAATGTGGCTCGGGGATGCCTGATGCCTGGCAGCCCGATAAAGTTTGGATAAACTCGGTGTGTTCGCTTCCAGGCAACAGACCTTTCCCCTTGAGGGCTCAGTGGCCAGGAAAACATTCCAGAAGCCAATAATTTCTCATTCTCCAGGGATCCAGGGAGCAGACAGTTTCTGGGCTGAACATCAGGGACACACCAATGAACTGTGAGAGCCCCAGTGCTGACCATCTGACCCCAGGAAATGGACGGCCGGTGCCGTGTGCTAGAAGACAGCTTCCTGCCAGGAGGAGGAACTGGGCTTGGTCTCCCCGTGCGCCAGCCTGTGGATGCGACTGTCTGGAGTTTCGTGGATGGCTATGGGAATCAGACTCCTGTGGTCCTATTCAATTAAACTACCAAATGAGAACCTACTATGTCAGTGCTTTGAAGAAGCAGGTGATGTTGGGGAAAGGCCATGGGCTTTGAAGTTTGAGAGGCTTCGGTTTAAATTCTAGGTCCACTACCTACTGACTATATGACTTAGGAAAGATACTTACCCTCTTTGGGCTTCAGTTTCTTTATCTGTGAAGTAATAACAGTAATGTCTACTTTACAGGGCTGAGATAAAAATTAAATAAAGTTATCGTGCATAAAGGGTATAGAATAATGCCTGCTGCCTTATCAGTGCTCAGAAACCAATCTTTCTTACTAGGTTTCATGGGGAGATGGAGGAGAGGTAAATATCAGACATGGTTAGGGAGATAGCACAAGTAAAACTCAGTGTAACTCCTTTGATGTTTTTTCAACTAGCACATATTAGAGAACCTCCTAAGTGCTAACAACTAGAGGGGAGATACAGGAACAATGGCCCTCGACCTAGAGGAACTCGGAGTTTTGCAACTGAGATGGATGAGTAAGCAAATAATTTCTATCAGACATAAGTGGTCTGAGATAAACAAGTGAAAATGCTATGGGAGCAGAGTGGAGGAGGTGCTTACATTCTCTGCAGGAGTTACAAGAGGCCTTGCTGAGGAAGCAACTCTTGGGCTCCATTGGCTGAGTCTTCAAAGATGAACAAACAGAAGCTTAGCTGGTGAAATGGGAGTGGAAGGCCACTGCTGATGTCGGAGACTGTGTGTGGGGAAAACACAGAGGCATGAAAGAGCTTGGTTATGGGAATGGAACCACGGGGTAGCTGGACATAAGGGACGTGGTAAAGGACATCAGCCTTGAGAGATACTGAAAAGTCCTTGCTGGTTTGCTAAGGAGTTGGGACTTTGCTCTGGAGAAAACAGAGGGGTTTTAAAGCAAAAACAAGGTGATTAATGTGTTTTCAGGAAGGTAACTGGGTGGAGGATGGAATGCAAAGGAGAGAGACCAGAGGCCAGGAGACTGGAAGCATGTGAGATAAGAAGCTCATCTGGGTTACATAATCAGGAAGTTGGTGGGGGATCAGGAAGAGAGGCTAGACCTCCTGGCTCCTGCTTTGAGCTTTTTTTTTTTTTTTTTTATTAGATTACTCCTCCTTTCACATCTTTGAAACCTGTCTATTAAGCAAAACTGACCTAAAAGTACAGCGCTCACATGAACAGAAAAGTAAAGTACAACTAGGTTTTAACTGTATGGAGGCACCTGCTTTTTATCCATGATTTACCTCAGCATTACGTATTTTTCTGAGCATCTACTTCGTGAGGTCTGTATTCCTAAGAAGAATGAAAATCCTTACTGATTTGGGCCAAACATTCATCCATTTGTCAATCAAATCCATCCATGCACAGAAGTGCATTGGCAGTTCCTATGGTCTATTCAGGCTAAGTCCTGGAGGTATAGAGAAGGAAGGCAATTCCTGCCGTCAGAGAGTCCACGGCCTCGTGGAGGGGGAGACAGAAAAACAGACATGGACAATCCAATGTGATGACTACTAATCCAATGAGAAGTGTGTGCTCATTGCTATGGGAGCTTGGAACAGGCATAGGCAACAGTCTGAGCCATCATGGAAGAAGGGGACACTTGTGCCAAGCCCTGAAGGGCAAAGAAGAGGGTACAAAGGTACTCTAAGTAGAAGGAGGAGCATATGCTGTTTGGGGTTATAGTGCAATGGTGACAGCAATTAGAATTCGAGAATACAACAGTCTTCCTAGTCCTGAAGCCAAACACCTGCGGTGCCTATTTTAATTACGTGAACCATTAATTCAGATTTAATTTATGGCTTCCCTCTGGCACCTCACTATACAAGACTAACTCAGTGCCCACTTTCCCCAAATTACCAAATAGGCAAAGTTTCCTTGGCATTTTCTGACCTCCTCTTTCAGTGCCTGTCTCGGGACACCTCGACCTCTGGCCTTAATTCCCTAAATTTTCCTCCAACAACCAAGAACCTACTTCAGCCCCTCCTGGGCAGTGGCCCAGGTTCCCAGTCTCTGTCCATTCTCACTCACTGCCTTATCAAGTCAGCGTGTGCATCAAACTCTGTCCAGCTTTTAGAGGGCTTTACATTGTTCATAACTACATTACTGGCCAGCTTACAGCATCACCCAGTCAGAGGTGTCTGCTCTCAACATTTCTTTCACCATCTTACCTGTCCTTTGAGGTGCGTGACTGCATCGTCCCTCCACTTGTGGTTTTCAGTGACAACCCATTCTCTGGAGTCACCTCTCTAACTCTCTGGCAGCCCCAGAGGCAAAGCTCTATGAAACACACAGAGTTTTAACCATTCCCTACTGTGGTTTTCTGTCCAAATAAAAAGTTCTGTATCCTACTCAGCTTTTCTCTCCCCAATTCTTCTACATAGAGGCAATAATAAAAATCTGATGAATGAATTCAGTACTAAAGGAAAGAACTAAAGTCCCTAGAACAAACTTCTGCTGGTAGACGGACACTCTGGAGGTAGGAATGGCACGTGCAGGAGGCAGGTTAGAGAAGCAACGCTGAGACTTTGAGCGTGCCTCTGTGCTCCAGGCCAGTGCCTACTTCGCTGTGCCTAAGGCTTGTTGAGAAAAGAGAAATGCTGCTCTTGAGACAGGGAGAAGACAGTATCTTATACCTTAATTTCTCTGAGCCCTGCCTGGCCTAGTTTCTCCAGGCTCCTTTCTGTGGGCCTGTGCTACTTTTCATGGTTCTTATTCATGAACTAGGAACTATTAATGATAACATTAGGAGCTGATGTTATACTTGACCTCAATTATGTTTTAACATTTATGCTGTGAAATTTTACAGAAGGGAGAACTAAATTGAAGTTAATGCTCACGAAATGGAAAATGAATAGTCCTTGGCTTATTATTAGAAGAATCCTGGCCTTTGGTCTGAATTTTTCCTTTTTTTTTTATTAAGATCCAAAAATACTAAAAAGTCTGACTGACTAGCCATGTAAAACATATGCTGAGAGGCCTCAGCCAAAGCCAAATATGAGAAAAGTCAAACAGTGTATAGAAAACAAATAAATGAATCACAGAGTTGGGTAAACTGCTGTTTGGCACAAATCCATGAACACAGACCAAGAAGCGTCTCTGCAAAGACAGGAGAAATGTCTGTGGAAAATATCTCTGAAACAGACCTGAATTTGACCTAAAATCTTGTCTACAACCAAACTTTGTCCTGCAAAAACAATCCATAATGTTTTCCTTTGGACGTGTTTGTTCGCCAGTTTGTCCATGGACCTGGGTGGGGCTGCTCTTTGCAGAGTGCACTGCACTCGACGGTGGCGTCGGTCATCATTGTGCGTGGCCACCTAGAGCCAGGCTGACCCACAGCATGGGAAACAAAGGTGACAGAATCTGGCTGCTCAGAGACGTGGCATGGGCCGGGACTAGGAACTGGGGCCCTGGGTCAAATAGCTGTCCACCACATGTAATGTTCTTTAAAAAGCCCCAGGCATTAGCATGCAACTGACTACAGACTGTTTAGTCTAATGTCCAACTTGACATTTAATTACCATAAGCTGCTTTAATTCGTGGAATTTCTTTTTTATGATTAAAGTCACCCTGTGAATATTAGGGATGAAAAGGAGGAAGGACTTAGGCTTAAGTTTTCCAAAATCTGTCAGATAAGTAGTTCTGTGTGCTTAGTTCTAGGTACAACAGGAGCTACAAAAAAATAAGATAAAACAATGAGCAGGCAAAAATTCTCTTACTCTCAAGGAATAGAGAATCTAGGAGGAAACATAAGACAGGGCACTATATCTGTAAAGTAAGGTAGAAGGAGAAGAGTAATAATAATAGCTGGCATTTATTAAATACTATGGGCAAGGCACTATTCTAAATGTTTTCTATGTATCGGCTCATTTAAACCTAACAAAAAACACGTGAGGTATGTACTACCAGTAGCCCTATTTTACAGATGAGGAAACTGAGGCATAAAGAGGCTTATAACTTGCCCAAGATCACCAGTAAGTAACAATAGAGATTTGAACTGCAGGCCCTCTGTGCCTAGCCACTGCGCTGCTCTGCCTCTGGGGGCTGTCTGAGTGGTGCGTATCACAAGCGTTTGATAGCACAGCTAAGGGAGATACTCACTGCACCCAAGGAGAAAGAGTACCCACACTTCCTGCAGCGGTAACATTTGCACTAAGCCTTGAAGGGTGGGGACGATTTGGACACACAAATGTTGGCAGTGAGAATGGAAGATGAATTCGGAGAAAAAGAGAAGTGTTTCCAAATTGGGCGCAGCATTTGTGAAACATGAAGCAGTAAGCACACAGGCTCTAAGAAAACAGCCAAGATGGGTCTGGTTGTGTTTGAGCAGAGCGTGAGAAATCAAAGTAGTGGGGGCTGGGAGGGGAAACTGCAGCTGGACCTGAACAGCTTGCTCCTAACAAGGATCCTTACTAACCAGTTCTCAGTACTTTGTCAACTCAGTAACTTAACACCAAAGACCACTCTCAGAGAGCCCAGAGAGAAACTTTGACAATACAAATTAACAGATGAAAAAGTTAAAAAAAAAAAAAAAAAGAAGTCACTTTCCCCCAAGGACCTGCAAGTGCAAGGGGACTCGATTCTGGTTCCAGTTTTCTGCTTGTCACCTGTGACTATCCTTCCAGATGCTGCAGGTCAGCCACACACTGACAAACCATTAGATAAATAAATGCAACATCCTGTGGAATGGTAGCCAGATTCTTGGTAATAATCCTTGATAATCACAAAGCTTTCTAGAGCTAGCTTCTTTAGAAATAATTGGGGTTTGACTTACTCTTACAGCTATGTGAGTAATATGTCATTAGAGTGTAAAATAAATCTATGTATTTATTTTAGAATCAGTAGGGTCTTTGGAAACCATGTAGTCTACTATTTTGCAGAGGAGGCAAAAAATAAATAAAAAATAAAAAGGGCTAAAAAGTTTAAAGGGTCTTACTTGAAGTTATCCGGCAAGTCAAGAGTGAAATCATGTTTTGAACACACAATTTTTGGAAAGTAAAACAAATGCTTTTGTTGCACATTTTAAAATATGCTTATGGATATATTCAGTGTTCTGCTGTTCCACCATTCCCTCATGAATCTTTAAATTTGGTTAAAACACAATAGCCAGAGAGGAGGCTTTTTAAAAGGTTGAACACACATTTTTTTTATGGTCACTTAGAAAGTGAGCTTTTAAAAAACATTCCATGCCTCAGAGTAATTCAGCAGAGATATTAAAATTAGCAACAGCTGACACAGCTTGAGCACCTGCGCGGGCTGAGCACTTCAAATGCTTCATCTCAAACGCCAGGACAAAAGCCTTCACAATGGCACTACTATCTCCATTCTGTGGTTGAGGAAAC